CGGCCGGAGGGAAAGATCAAACTCCCCGAACTGACAACGGCAGGCGGGGACGAATTAATTGTAACTGTAATCTTAGTAATGTAGCAACGACATCGACGGTCATAACAAACAGCTGCACTGCTAGCTGCGCTAGTCCCCACCTGGCAGCTGCACGGCCGCGCAGCTGTCGTGGATAACCGGGCAAGACGCGCGCGTGTGTGTGTGTTAATGACGAAAGGGTTTGTAAGTGAGCGGAGTGGAAGGTGTGGCGAGGCGTTGTTGACAAAACCGTTACCGTTTGCGGCACCGTAGCGGGGCAGAAACATAGAGTCAGTCAGAGAGAGAGGAAGAGGGAGGTAGGAAGAGACAGAGAGAGAGAGGGAGAGAGACATTCAGTCCGCGCCACCCGGTGCCGCGCCTGATGGAGGTTCAAACGGGTCTCAAACGCTCTGACCTGACCGCCATATGTGACTCGCGCTACGCTGCCCGAGGGGCATTCCCCCGGCGCAGGACAAGGGCGCGGAGACGGTGGGGCGGGGGAGGTAGGTCTCTTCCTTCGCTGATTGTCACTTTCTTGACACGATCCTCCTCCCTCCCCACCAGTCTGCGCCGCTTCCTCTGTGCGAGTGCGAGAGAGACAGACAGACAGCGGCGGAGCGCACATCTCCATCTCGCACTTGGAGTGAATGAGAATGAATGAGCAGAGCGCGTCGTGGCGGACGCACGCGGACGTGGGGGGGGGGGGCTGCAGGAGGGGGGGGCTCTCGGCAAAAGATTGGGCTCTGCATTACGAGCAGTCGAATCAAATTCTCTCCCCCCTGCCCCACCCCCTCGTAAAAGGTCTCCGGTTACGCCACTGCTGCTGAGCCCTGAAGGCCGCCGTCGCGGTGGTCGAACGCGTGCCCGACGCGTACGTTCGTCGGCGCCCCGCGGCCCCGCACGGCGGCGGCGGCGGCTGCGGCGGTGGTCCACGGAGTCCTGCGGCCGAACCACGCGAACAACTGCTCAGGTTACAGTCCTGCGGCCGGCGAGCGGCAGCGTCTCCACCATTACCTGGCTATTTCATTTCGTGGGCCCGCCCCGCCCCGCACCGCCCCGCCCCGCCCCGCCACGGGACACAGCCGAGTCCTTGACGTCTGTGGTCGCATTGCATCGCCGATGTTTGGGCGATGCCGGCGACCCGATCTGATGCGACGTCGGGCTGCTGCCCTCGTGAACCCTTCGCGAGGAGTCCGGTGTGTGTCGGAGCTGGGTCGGGTCTGCTGCGGTCGTCTCGGGGACACAACTCAATAACACTAGTTGGGGTGAAGGTTCTACGGCAGGAGCGACATTTACTTGCTCGGTCTGCAGGGTCGTCATTTGTTGGATATGTTCTTGTGTGTTTTCGAGACCGCTGAATGGCTGATTTCCGTAGAACGGAACCAACAACTGACTATCGATGCCAGTATGAACCCTATATGCAGAGCTCTTTTGGTTTCGAGTGTGTCGGCGTCGCGTCGGCGTGCGAACTGCTGCGGCCGGCCCGCGCGCCGTGCAGCTGGGCCGTGCCGCCGGGCGCGCGCGCGGGCGGGTCACCTACCCCGCGGGAGTCCCGCTGGACATTATGTCTCCGCCTCTTCCGGACTGCAGCCGCGGGGCTCCGAATCCATCCATTAGAGCAGTCCGGCAGCAACGGCGGTGTTCCGCCAGCCGGGACGGCGGGGCGGGGCGGGGCGCCCTGCGATGAGGCCTTTCTCATGGCGTATGGTTCGGGCCGCGGAGCGGTGACAGCGGTGATGCGCTCCAATGCGTCCCCACCAGTACCCCACCCACGCGTCCGTGCAGCCCACCCCGCCCCGCCACGCCACGCCAAGCCAGATCGACAAATGGCGGAACGGTACTACCCGCGGATCGGACCGACGACGACGACGGGCAAAAGGGCGCGGAGGCGCGGCCCCCAAGTAGTGACAGCGCACGCGATCCAGAGCACTGCTCCTCCGGTACCTCACTGAATTCTGAGCGTGTCGACGGCTACCTCGGGAGTGCTCGCCGCCGCCCCTCACCCTTTGGGGTGTATGCGAGCAGGAAGATCCGCTGCTGCTCGTCAGTCGGCACCTCCCTCCCTCCCTCCTTCACCTCCTGCCCTGCCTCTGCCCACCCTCACCCGCTCCTCCTCTGCGCTGCTCCTGAACCCTTCTGGACTCGGCTTCCAGTCGGGATGATGACGACCATGGCCGTGCGCCGCCAGACGGGGCAGACATGACGAGTGAGCAATCGCAGCCGGGCGGGGCGGGGCCGCTGCAGCGCTGCCGGCCGCGCCGCTGCGAGTGAGGAGGCTATGTGTGGAACGCCGACAATTATTTCATCAAACTGCTCATCGGAGAGCAGAGGAGCTCCTCCTCCTGCCGGTGGAGAGCTTTCGTAGAGCGCTTTGGTGGCCGGGCTGAGGGGTGGGCGGCGGGGCACGAGCTGCTCGGGATGCCGATGAAGAAACAGCACTCATATCGCGTCGTCCCCCGCCCCAGCTCTCTCCATATCTATCTATCTATCTATCTATCTATCTATCTATCTATCTATCTATCTATCTATCTATCTATCTATCTATCTATCTATCTATCTATCCCATCTAGCTAGCCAGCTACTATACATATACAACATACGTCGCCCTGGGGAGGTCTGGAGAAAGGTGTGCGTCCGGCAGTCCCTTCCATCACAGCGCTGACCGCTGTGTTTGGCAGAGAGCCTGGACTCCTGCAGCGGGTCGGGGGGCTGGACGTGAAGCTGAATGCGCTGCCGGCCCGGGGCGCCGGGCACCGCCCGAGCCGCTACTGCAGCCGTTGCGGTGGGGCGGCATTGACAAATTGGTCGTATTGAGAAAGCGATTCATTTTCACGTTTGGCAGCCGGAGGAAACGCGCCGCGCGCGGTCGGCACGGGTCGCGTAAGGCTGCAGGCTTGGTGGCGGGCGCGGTCGACATGTTTGTATACATCGGTTTCTTTTCACTCCAAACGCGGCGGAAACGTGGCCGCGCGGAGTGCGGTGGATGTGGAAGGCGCCTCCATGTGATGGATTACCTGTTTGAGTACGTGACTAGCGGAGGGGGGGGGGGGCTGCTCTCGACCGGCCCGTCCCTAACCTCACCCAACCTCGCCCAACGCGGCCTAGGATAGGACCGCGCAGCGGGGCCGGCCAGCGCCGCGGCCGCTGCGCCCGCGCACCCATCCACCATACTTTCTTCCCGCCAAAGACCACCAAGCCGTGCCGCAACGCGATGAAAAGTGGGGGGAACCTAGATAATCGAAAAGACGCATCATATGGCAAGGGAAGGA